TAGGGTTTAGGGCTAGGGTTTGGGGTTTGGGGTTTGGGGTTTAGGGTTTAGGGTTTAGGGTTTGGGGTTTAGGGTTCAAGGGCTTGGGGTTTATTTAGGGTTTGGGGTTAAGGGTTCCTCTACGCGTTCCTTCAAGGACTCTCCTTCGAAACTTCCCGTGAAGCAGCGATAAAGGTTCCTTTAAGAGTACTATGAGGGACAAACCCTTGGATAAACCCTCAAAGCCCCAATGCCCCAACCCTAAACCCTAAACACCAAAACGCAAAACCAATCCTACGCCCTGGAGTCTTTCCACCCTGAACCACTTTGAGTTGAGGGGCTCAAGGTTCGGGTTCGAGATATGCACTTCTGCTTGGAGGCTCATGGGTGGTTGTCAATGCGGGTTCTAAGTAGGGCAACTAGTGGTAATTTTTGTTGTAAGTGGGGATTATATGTAAGGTTCCTCTAAGAGCTCTATAGGATTTAGGGTTCCGGGGCAGCTATCAGTGGGGGTTGAAAGTAAGGGAACTATAGATATAACCCATATTAGGGGACTTAGGGGACTTGTAACCCCGCTTATGACTAGCCATGAACCTCCAAGTCGCCGAGGAAACAGCCTCAATGGCTAGCCGACTGCATGTGCAGGCCCACCTCCTCAGCAGGTGTGCCTGGCAATGAAGAAAGAGCCAGAGTCCCAAACCTTCACCCAAAACCCTTCAATATGTGCATAAATGACTAAAACTAAATATAACCATATGTAAATAAATAGATATACATATATATATATATTCTAATATTATACACACATACATACTACATACATACATAAATACATAAATACATACATACATACATACATACATACATACATACATACATACGTACAGTCAGGTACTTCGCGACCTCGATCCGATCCAAGAAAGTCCACGCAAACATGGGAGTGCTACAGCATTGCTATGAAGGAATTACGAGCTAGGGAGAACTCTTGGGATGCTTCGATCTCCTGCATTAAACCAACTTCGGATCCCAGATCTAACAATAAACACTAAAACCTAGGGGCTTTGTATATAAGGATTATACTAATTTAAGGTAATTGGGCTAAGGGTCCTTATTAGGGGTCCCTCCTAAAGTCCTTAGATAAAACCTGTTCGGCCTACTCCCATTCCTGAAATGGCGCTTGAGCACGGTGCCTTCGTCCTCCGCGCCTCCAGAACCTTTCCTGCCAGAAGGTTGGGTTTTTTCGAAAAAGGGTTTAGGGTTTAGGGTTTGGGGTCTTCCTGCAAAGGCATAAGGGGCCCTTGTAGAGATCATCCGTCTCCTACTCAGAATCACAGCGGCGAACTCCAATCTAGAACGACGCTAAGTTGGTCAGGTCGTTTTCTTGCACCACCTGGCTGCCTGATGAGCGTGGTTCAGACTGCAGTGATGCCTATAACCCACCTGTTCGACGACGGTACGTCTTGGAACAGTTTTGCAACACCAGAAGCTCACATATCAGTCCTTGTCATTGCTAGCCTCAGAGGCTCTGCATTCCCCCTAAAACTCACCGTAAATCACATGCATGCCAAGCCAGCCAATTCCATGATGCAGCTTTCCGTTGTGGGCGTACGGTGTTCTACCGAACGTCCCCCTTCAAGGCATTAATACCCGGAACCCCCACAGTCCCAAGTACCCATCAAGATAAGACAGGAGCCTGAATGACTACCAGTACCACTCCTTAGGACCTGAGGGTTCGTTACTGTAGCTTTAGTGTATGATCGGAACCCCATTTGCATTGCTGAAACACCTCTATATATATATATATGTAGAGATATATACGTACACAAACCTAGACGACTTAAGCCAAATCACACCTTATAGAAATGCTAGTTGTTCAGGCCCCTGTATCTCACCTAAACCCTGAACCCCCAACCCTA